AGCACGAGCACTGAATATTTGGGTACAGCACTTCACTGTTTCTGAAAACTGTACGTCCGTTGGTTTACTAGGCAAGATGTAGTTGGTATATCGTTGATGTTCAACGGGGCCGAGTTTGCGCATGAGCACTCTTACTTTGTCAGTGTCTTCCCACAGAGCACAATCCACGGTGAATATACCCCCGAATCTTGCGTACCAAGATTCGAACGTCAATTCTGCATCCGCGTCATATGTGAATTCTGTAATCGCATTGGCGAGGTTGTCACTGGTTAGACCTGCATTTATCGATTAAANGAAGATTGTTCCATCTTTTTGGCCAACGCTTCGATGAGCTTGTTTTGTGTGTGAAGCATTTGCATGAACATTTCCATTTGGTCTGACATGATTTTGTTTTGTCTTGAACGCGTGGTTTTTCTTTCCGTCGTCAATTTTTATGCTTCCGGATCGCCCAGAGCGAGAGGAAGAACAAAGACCGTCTGATCGTCAGATCCGTGTATGTACGAAAGAATGCGTCCGCACTAAACCACATGATAAGAGCGATACTCATGACATCATAAAAGGTCAAGGTCAATGACACTGTCTGTTCGCCTGCTGGCCATTGGCACCCGTAACATGCATAGCACCTGGCTCATTCAACACTTTCAACATATTGTGATTCTTTCTGATAGACAACTGCTTGCACATAGTCACGTCTTGGACTGCATCAATATACCTTCGTCCCAAAGTTATCCAGATAGTGAAGTGCCTCATATGTGGGTCAAACTATAGACTATAACTATAACTATAACACAAACTATATAGACGAAACATCACTGGCTGAATGTGACATTGCATGTTGCTTGGTCAATGTTCAATTCGTACATCGATCAGCGATCAAGTTAGTAAGAATCAGGAGCTGCAACCTACTATATTGTATAATTAGGACCTGCGCTGTTACGTATGCCGTTGTTTTTGGTTTACTGAAAAGTGGGATCATATTAAAAAATGACTTCGCATGGCTGCAATATAGCAGGATATTAACCGTAATAGAACAATTATTTTCCGAATAAAACTTGAACAAAGAACACAACATTGCAAGTGAGCTTGACTTCGTTCAGCAAACAATGGCTGCATCTCAGCTGTCGCTAACTGCGGAAGCAAAATAGTTTGTATATCATGACAATCTGACATGATATCAATTCAATCTTTGGCGTACGTGGTCACCAGGGCCACACCAGACTGATGTAGACCTCCTTCTGCTGACAGAATGGGAACTTTTAACACCTGATTACCATGGACTCTGTAAATATTAGCAGCCATCCGTTAAAGGTTGGGATTTGTAAACCATTTTGTTTTTGTAGTAAGCACCACATGAGATGCAACGAAATGGTTCCGGAATGAAATTTTGCCCTTTGCAGTGTTGTGTTCTTTGGTCAACATCGACTGGATGTTTACCAAATAGATCATAGACCAAAAATGGAAGAGCGGAAAGCGACTGAAATGTGACTTACCATGATCATCTACTCCGTTTTCAGCTAGGGGTTCACCCACACCTTTTAAGTCATCTCGAACCAAGCGTCTATGAAGCATCAATTCAATTTGTTTATTCTCCAGACTGGAGTCTCCTTGTGAACGGTCCGTGTACACCGCAAATCCCATAGCCGGAGCATCTTTGTATTTCGGCTGGCTGCCCTTCAGCATAATTCGGCTGACTATCGGATAGTAATTCCCAGCTATCGGTTCCGTCTCAGTGAAGGTAGGATTCTTCTTCGTTGCGCACACATCTGATTAGGCGGCGTCCGGCAGAGTCAGTGAAGAATTCCCCTGATTTAGTATGGGCAAACACAACACAAAACTAGAATTGATTGCAATGTTACGAATAACTTTCCTACTGGAAGACTCCACTATGCTAACGGAAAGTTGCTGTTCCATTTTAATTGTAGTCAGATACTATAAGTGAATACCTGGATCAGAATGAACAGGCTTTAAATGATGTTACTACCGAAATATCCATTGAGCCCCTTTTTGGTTAGCGCATAGTTTATCGTTCAATGTTATGGTAAATGAAAGCAGCTTTTCCAGATTCAAGCAACCATTCAAGTAATACTGATACCTTGCTTATTTTGGTATCGCGTAACAAGTCCATAGATATTTGAATAGTGTTGGGTGGACGGGTGGTTATATACTTTTACTTAAAGGAAGAAGTCAAAATTGTGCCTGAATAGTTGGAAAACAGTGGCAGTTGGTGAAACATCCGATCGGGATGCAGGTTTTGGAGTAATGGTGCTATTAAAACTGAAATGCCTAATCATCTATTATCAGCTCATTTCTAATCCGCAATTCAAGACAATGCATGAAAATTTTGAGCTGGTTAAAATTTAAAAAGCATTCTACCAAATAACGCTGTTCACTTAGTATTGTTGTTAAGACAACAATACTGACTGTGGTCTATATTTTATCATTATTAGCTGTTATTGTTATTAATTTATGGCAAAATCAGGCGGTAAAAATCATCAATTTGTCGTTTCGGAGGCAGTGCGTTCGAATCCCACCACAACTGCCCTACTACCTACTCTCTGTGGGCTGTATGGTAACCCTTTGATTGGCCGCTTCCCCTTCCTGAAAATTGTATCATTATATATTCATTGAAATGAAATAATATAAGACATGAAAATGATACACCACCTCTGACTTGTTAGCATAATGGCGATAATGACCAACACAATGATGACTCGGTTGACGAAGATGATGGTTATGATGCTATTAGCGGTGCTGATGGTGGTCGTCGCTGTGGTGGTCGTGTTGTTGGGGTTTTGTTTGTCGTTTTGATGCTGATCAAACGGTTTACATCCTTGTCACCGGTTTGCATTGGGTTCATATCGCAAGTTTTAATTTTTCCACCGTCACAACATTTATGGCAGGGATCTTCATAGTCTTCAGGCTCAAGTGAATGCATTTTTTATCGAGTGTGTATATGGTTGCTTCTAGATAGTCGATTCTCATTACCGAACAATACACCCACAGGATTAGTTATTCTATCCCCCCCTCCCTACTGCTTAACACTATAAAACTTCTGTCAAAAACAGAACTTAACAATATGAAACCAGAAAAGTTGTAAAAAACGTAACTTGACTTGATTCTCTCTGGACTTTTGAAACGGTTTGGATAATATTTCAGATGAAAAATTGTAACTTTTAGCTTGATAGTAATAGTAATGTATTCCGTGAAATCCAGCTCTTCAGGAGTCACTGGCTTACTCAATAAATAGCTGAAACCATCCAACCAAAACTGTATATATTATCAGAATGAGAATGTATTTTGCCTAATAACCTAAGCATAGTCGAATCCAGGATCTTGATACGTAGACGAATATGCGATATGATAATAAATGAAGTTAGACGTACCGGGCACATTTGGTGAAATTCCATCTCCGGTGACTCCATAACGAACGATCACCTCACGACTGAATTCAAAACCGTCGTCCGGAATGGGTCCAACAATCCAATCGGTTTCCAGTTCCCAATTCATGTACGGACGAACTGTCAGTGTGGCCCAGTTGTTGTACTTTAAATGAACTTCTTCCACACACTTACCTGAAATCACCTACGAATGGTTTGTGATTGAAAGAAAAAAGAACCGAGGTGATAGAATTTGAAGATTCATTTGCTGAATGGTTAGCGCGTAACTTGAAGGTAATGAACAAGTTATGTGGTGAATTTCGTCATGACCAGACCAAGTGAAGCGTGAGCCAAATGCCAAGTGTATGGTTGTTTCCACTTGACCGTTCATACTTTGAGTCCAACAACCCAACTGGGGATGGAATAAGAGAACTCACTGATACAAAGCAGGCATACTTCAATGTGCAGGTGAACAAACTGTTTTTCATTTTGGTGTAAACACGCCAGGGCACAGCCCACGCTCGTTGCGAGCTTAGCGCAAGCATCATACCTTGCTCAACCAACCACTGGCCTCCGGGCTTTCGAATCGGCTGGAAGCCTTCCTACCTTGACTGCTTGAGAGTGGTGGATGGTTTGATCTGATGATCTTGTGCTGCCTAACACATTTGTTGGGTAACATTTGTATAAAGTGTGATTGCTCCATCGTTTCACATTATCTTGTCCCTCTCACCCGTGAACCCGAACAACTCAATTCACTCTGATCCTATCTGCGATCTGATTGGATCACTTCCCACGATATGCGGCAACGGTGTCCCTCACCCAAACTTGAGACAGTCTGATTACTGGCTTGTACTTTCTTTAATTCTCTTGTTTTCACGTGCAGTCCATCCCTGTGGTGATGGCACTTCTGTTGTACAGTTGAAGTTCTTTGGGATTGTCTAAGATTCGCGACTGTAAACTCCGAATGGAAAAAGCTCAAGCGATGATTAAACCAGGCCAACGCTTGACTTGTCTGAGACACACGAACTATTTTTCCATTTTTGCCAGCCGGTTCGGTAAACAGATAATCGTAATAAAAACTAAAATATCCACTAATGCAGGCCCACGAAAAACTCTTCTTGGTATTTTCCCAAATAGCTGTTTTCGCGTTGAACGATCTTGTTAACTACGTCGGGGAGAGAATTCCGGGGGAGAGAACAAACAATATGAGAATAATGAAAATTTATTTTTTAAAAGTTGTTCAATATATTTTCCATCCTGCTGCTTGGACAGCACATTCGGTGAAGATTGATTTCTTCCGTCATCGGAATTGTAGCAGTTGGAATAGTTTCGCACTGCGCAACGATATTCTGCTTTAGCACCTCGATTGTTCTTGATTTTCGAGAATAAACGGTTCGGTTTAAATACACGAAGTTCCCACATAGCGCATCGTTCCACAATTGATTCTCCAGTGGTGATTTTCTACCTACACTTGAGCAGCATCGGATTCGGAACTTGTCCTCCTCCTTTGCCGGACCGAAAATCCCACAACCGAACGGGTTCATTTGTCGATCGGTCGAATGGTTCAGCCACAACAAGGGACCTGGTGCTTGCCCAACTAACCCGAGTGAGAAACCACACCTTGTTTACAGCCGTGTGTGTCAGACAGGCCCAGTGAACTTCGACTGTGCAGCAGGAGTGCCATCCGTATTCGGATGGATTGGACGTAACCACAAGAGCATTACAAAACGTACAAGCCGGCAATCAGATAGTTTTGTGTTGGGGTGAGGGATTTTAAGCGCACCAGATCGCGGAATATGATTCAGTCAGATCGCATTAAGGGTCAGAGGGAATTCACTTGTTTAATGTCACGCTTGAGAGGGACGAGACAACCGAAAACGATGGAGCAATCGCAATGTACATCAAAAACAACTTCGGTGTAGCAGAAATCCATAGACAGGAATATTAACCTAACTTTATCAGTGGTTCAAAAAGAGTTTTCGTTCTCTTGTTTTCATGCTAAAGTCCTGAAGTGAAAATTGAAATCTAAAATCTGTACGTCGTAAAATTTTCATGCCGAACATTCCCTTTGATATTTTCACGAGGGGTAAAAGAAGCGTCGTGATCACACAATGTGTTGCATCCAACCATGTGAAAATGTCATCGATTGTGTACATACTTCTATTTGGTTGAATGAGTGAGAAGTTTGGGGACAAACGTACACACGTTGAAGAGAACTCAATCAATTCCGAGGGTGAAGGTCACAAATCTGGACCGGTTGGGACACAGAATGTGTTGATTGTAATCTGAGGGTTCAGTCATATCTACGGAGGCTAGTCGAAAAACCAATCTGGTTACACAGGTTGAGTTTATCACGTCGTACAGCAGCCACCTCAGTTGATGAGTTTAGCATGAAATAGCTGAATCTAACATCCTGTGATTACGATGCACCTTCTTGCTCTCATGAAAGCATCATAAGATTATTTTGTGCATAAACCATTTAACAGCAATTATTCCTTCAGTATGTATCAAAGTTAATCAGTTACATTTAAGTTTAAGCGAATGTTGCATTGATTTGATAGAGACTCGGGACAACCAATCTCTAAAACTGAATTACTTTGATTGAAGGATCCGGAAAGGTCTGAACACTACTATTGATTTGGGGTTTGAAAATATAGGCTCCGGATGCTTTATAATTTCTAGGTTCTCCATAATAGTACATCATTTGCATGGTGACATTAGTTTTTGCTCCGCTTTGCTTGTGCGTAGCCATAAGAGTAACTGGCGTTGAGCCATTCTTGGAAACGTAATTAATACAGCATCGTATTCGACACGTAAGGCAGTTTGGCACAATCGAGGTGTTTCTCGTTCTTTTCGGTCGATGATGACTCGGTCATTCCAAGGTAGTATGTGCAAAAAACCATTCGAAGGTATTGAAAAACCGGATATAGCCGCGTTGAATACCAGTTCCATGTTGCTCACAGATTGGGTGCGTTTTCGCTCAGGGATATCTTGTATGCGTGACTGAATCGGAACTAGTTGAAACGGCGTCGGTTGTAGAATATAGCCTCGCAATCCAAAGAGCTTGAATTTCACAGATTCAGGTTGAAGATTTGGTACGTAGATCGGTAACCGAACCCAAGAACTGTTCAACTGCAAACCGGTTGGATTGTAGATCATCACAAACACACCACCGATTCCATTCTCGCTTAAATAAGGAGCCCTAGCTTCCAAGGCATCACAAACACTCATGTTAAGCTTATCATAAAAAGACAGAGCCTGAGTGCGGACGAGTTCACCGAAATTCGGCAACAGTTTGCTCGTCGCATCGACAATCACCTTCTCCCCTTGCTTCACCCCGAGTGATAATAAGCGAGCATAGTCCTGAGCAACCTGTTGTTTTTCTGTTCCAGTGACTGCATCGTGATGTTGCATTACGCCCATTGCACGACGCATTTTGTCCACCAGTAGATCGTTTGCGCTTAGACTGGGATCCAGTTTCAGCCGAGCGGAAAAGAAGTATAGCTGTTTGAGAAAAATACAAGTGTTCTGCTTAGTTTCGATTGAGTATGAAACGGGAAAATAATATTCTAACGCCAAACGAAAGATTGAATAAATTTAGTACAACAATAAAAAATCCTAACTGAACAAATTGAAATTAGTTATCTAGTTGTGGTGATTGCTCATGAACTATGAACTCTTGTTTTATTGAACACGATATCCTTGTATAT